TGAAGCTCAATCCTGTTGGCCATCGTGGGCGTCCGAATAGGTTGGCCATCGTGGACGCTCGAAGGGCGGCAGAATGTATATGATGTGCGGATGGGGGCTCCGAAGTGTCTGCAAGTCCCCCCTGTCACCCCTAACCGGCGGAGTGGAGGACCCAGAGCGGCTGGAGCCGGGAGGAGCAGCAGCAGGGAGAGGAGGAAGAAGAAGAAGAAGAAAAACGAAGAACAGTCAGACAAATAATAATGAGAAGAAGAAGAAAAACAATAAGTATAAGAAGCACAGTAATAATGATAGTAATACTACTAGTAAGACTGATGATGATGATAATAAGAAGATGAATATAATAAAGGAAAACAGTGTGCGGGGCTTCTGGGGCCTTGTTTGGCCAAAGGGGCGAGGGCTGGATGCTTTATTGATAGCCCCTTGGGCACTGTCGGAGTCTGTTGCGAGGCTTTGGGGCATCTGGGAGTGGTCTGGGGCCTTCCATGGTTCTGTGGCTTCATTTAGGGCTTCTGGGAAACCAAAGGAAAGGGGGAAACGTGCTGGGGCTGGACGCTGTCTTCAAATGTCCTAGGGTTGTGTTATTCCCATATTACTGAAGGACCAGATCTCAGGAATAATTTCGGGCACCCAGGAAAGTGTCGAAAGAGTGTCGAAAGGGTGTCGAAACAGTGTCGAAACAGTGTCGAGCCCTCGCGTTTCGGTACTTTTTTGGTGCTCGAAATTCTTTCTAGAAGCCAAGGCTAAAGTGGGTTGGAACATCATAATCCTAGGGGGGTCTGCGCCATCGCGGAGTGCGAATGCGAATGCGAATGCGGCTCGCGTTCCAGCCCGCTACCGGGTGGTCCTTTTGAGAGAGGGCGAGCGCTGGGGCACGCACTCCCGCTTGGAAGAAACCTGAAAACGGTATACTGCCTGTGGTGGAACAGGAAGGAGGAAGGGATGAGGGGGAGACACACAATAGCAAATGCATGGCCCTGCCACCTCTCAGAGGAGCATGTCGAAATACGTAAATTCATACCATGGTGTTGTGATGCCAATGTGTTTGAAGAAACCACGAATCGAATCTTCCCAGCGCAAGTTCGGTCTCCATGGCTGCCGGCTTGCACAGTGACTGGTGGTTTCAGATTCCCAATGTAATGCTAGCGATGCCCACCGGCTGCCGTCCATGTGGGCTGATCGAGACGCCCACCGCCACGTATGCCGTCTCGACAGATCAACCCGACTTTCCATGTTTAACCGTTCAAGGTGATCTTCCACTTGGCGTGTTACCCTCCGGGTAGAAAGTCAGCCCAAGGCTCTAGCTTTAAGTCGGGCGTGTCCCCCTACGGAGGGATTTTCGACGAAAAATAAAATATGCCCCCCAAAATATGCCAAAAAGGTCAAACATACAACAACAACAACAACAACAACAACAACAACAACAACAACAACAACAACAACAATCATTTTACCCGAGCGCTCAGTGTTCTCACCAGTGCCAGGGTTTTCATGCGACGCGAGACAATACCCCCACTTCGTGGGGGGGCAGTTCAAGCTCTACCAAATATCCAAACGACTCTTCGCGACCACCCAAACCCAGCTTCCCGCCCTATGACGTTGGGACACTTCACTTCGTGGCGTGCGGACGACCGTGGCTACTACACTGGCGTGGGGTACACACCCACAGAACTTGGTCACTTATTCGGGGCGCGCGTGTGCCCAGCATCCTGCAATTGTGACATACAATACATGACACAGACAGACAGAGAGAGAGACAGAGAGCAGACAGAGAGAGAGACAGAGAGAGCGGAGTTGGTCACATTTTTGGGGCAAGTTCCTGAGATCGTCGTGTTTTTTGTTGGTCTTGCGCGCGCGAATGTCCACTTTACTTTTTTTTTGCAAGGGAGTATTGAAATTTGATTATGTTAGAACAAGAAAAAGTAGCTCGCGCGAGCTCATGTAACATAAATGTTGAAAAACCATTGGTTTTGTGGGAGTCGGACAGCGCGCGCGGGATGAAATTTGGACATTTTTTTTGAAAAACCATTGGGTTTTTGATGTTTTTATGTTGAAATCGTTACGAAACCTAAGGTTCTGGAAGGATTTCGTCTTGCGCGCGCGAATGTCCACTTTACCTTATTTTTTGCAAGGGATTATTGAAATTTGATTATGTTAGAACAAGAAAAGTAGCTCGCGCGAGCTCATGTAACATAAATGTTGAAAAAACATTGGTTTTGTGGGATTCGGACAGCGCGCGCGGAAGGACATTTTGACAATTTTTTCTTAAAAAACCATTGGGTTTTTGATGTTTTTATGTTAAAATCGTTACGAAACCTAAGGTTTTGGAAGGATTTCGTCTTGCGCGCACGAATGTCCACTTTACCTTATTTTTTGCAAGGGATTCTTGCAATTTGATCAAGTAAAAACAAGAATTTTCATTTTCTATTGTTTTTTGCAAGGGAAAACGAGCGTCAACAAAAAACCGGATCCGGAGCTCATCCACTTTTCTGAAGCTTTCGCGAAAAAATGATGAAAATGTAGCTGCGGCCTAGGCGCGGCGCAGAGGTCGCGCACCAGGGGTCCCAACAATAATAATTCTTTAGAAGGAATAATATTCAACAACAACAACAACAACAACAACAACAACAACAACAACAACAAAAAAAATGATCCCCAGATTATGTTCGGGCTATTTTTTGATGATTTTTGGCGTATTTTTCATTTTTCTTCGAAAATCCCCCTGTAGGGGGACAGGCCCGACTTAACTCTAGCTCCACCGATGCTGACATGTGTGATTTCTGTTCATCGCTGGACATGGTGTTGCTGTCGACATCGTCGCCATCTGTGCTGCTGTCCGCCATGTTCGTCTGCACTCGCTTCCTCCGCCGCCTCGCACCCGGAATCTGTCGCAACATGCGCCGCTGTGCACGGGCAGTGCTTGTTTCATAGTTTGTCGACATCGTTAGGGGGCCACATGTGAACTCTACCCCTACCCCCCCACGATTTCTGAGGGAGAGGGTGGGGTTCACTTCGTGAACCCCACCCTCCCCCTCAGAAATCGTGGGGGGTAGGGGTAGGGTTCGCATCTGGCCCCCTATTCATGGTCTGTCGACATCGTCCAAGACCCGCAGCCGTAGAAAGTGTTGGAATAACAGTGCTGTACAATGGCCGTTGCTGGTCAGAAGTATAAGAATGTTTGCTTGTGAGCTCTGGTTTGCGTATCGCGAGATTTGCACATGCCTTTCTTGTCCTGTTTGCTAGCTTCACGTTCTGCTGATCATGAAGTCCTTGCCGAGGTATTTGGTGGAGACGTCCCGCGAGAGAATGTGTATCTTCATGTCGTCAATGCACAAGAAACTGGTTTTGGGTCTGCCAGAGCCTTTCGTGGCATTGCTTAATAGCTTCGTCGTGTCAGGGTGAATGACCAGTCCCACGTTATTCGCCGCTGTTTTCGCATCAGACAGCATCTGCCGAAGTTGTCTGTGGGCGGCTGCGATCAACAATACGTCGTCTGCGAAGCGTAGGTTTGTAAGCCGCTTTTTGAGAAGAGGGTCTAATTCGACACCATATCGTTGTCGTGACCACTCGGATTTGCACGGCAGCAAAACATGCTCGAGCACGGCGCTGAAAAGCAACAAAGGGAAAACATGTTCGTGCACGGCGTTGAAAACATCTCGGAGTGGGAGGGTTCTCGTGGTCGTGGGGCTGTCTTTGGGGCCACCGACGGCCCTGCGAAGGAAATGCCCCCCGCAACCCCTAATCGGCCGTGGAGCGAGACGCTGGTCCCCGCAGTGTCTGCAGGTCCCCCTCCCTGTCACCCCTGATCGGCCGTAGAGGGGGAGCGACCGAAGTGGCTGCAGGTCCCCATTGTCACCCCGAGCTGGCGGAGAGGAGGCCCCAGAGCGGCCGGAGCGTCGATGGAGGAAGGAGGAAGAGATCAGAGGAGAAGGCCCCCTCTTATCGGCCGTAGGGGGGGGGGGTCTTGAGGGCGACTCTCCGCCATCTCGGAGTGGTCCTGGGGCCGCGCTTCGGAGCTCCGTGGGGGCTGTGGGAGCCTCTTCCTGGGACCGCTCTCGGGAGCTCCGCGGGAGCTGTCGGAGTCGATTGACAAGCGTCACGGGTCTTGTGGGCGACTCTGGGGCATCGCGGAGTGGTCCCGGGACCGCTCCGTGGATCTCCGTGGGGACTGTCGGAGTCTCCTGGGAGGCTCTGGGGCATCTCGGAGTGGTCTGGGGCCTGCCTCGGGGGTCCGGGACTTTCTTGGGGGCGCTTGGGGTTCGAGAGGCGGCGAAAGGGTGCCGTGACTCGATGCACTCTCCTTGGGTGTTGGGTAGCTCCCAGGGCCCTCTTGGGGCTGTCTTGGGGGCCACCGAGAGCTGTATGAGGCTATCTGGGGCTTCTCTTGGACAATCTTCGGGCCCTCGGTGGTCTTGGGACACTTGGCGGGGTCTTCTGGACCGTCTTGGGGCGATCTGGGATGGCCCCGGAGCCGTTTGGGGCCGTTCTTGGCCCGAAATGGCGAGAACATGGAAAACCTTCGGACACCGAAAGAAAATCTATGATGGTGGCCTCGGGTGACCGCCATCGGGGTCGGGTTCGGCCGTTTTCGGAGGCACCTGGCCCGTCGTCGGGCTGTCATGGGGCTCCGTTCGGGTTCTCTTGGGCCGTCCTCGCGCGCTCCGGAGCGCCTCAGAGTTCTCTTGGGACTCTCAGGAGCCGTCTTGAGGCCACTTGGGGGCTCTCTGGAGCAGCCGGAGAGCGCCGGGGTGCTTCGGCGCTCGGGGGGCAGCTCGCGACCTTGGCGCCCCTGTCGCACGCGCAGCGACAAGAACTGTACCGTCGGGGCGTTGACCTAAGGAACCCTACATATAAGGAACGAGGCCCCTTTTTTCTATAAGTTAAACTTCGATTTCCTACCGAAACCATAAGGAAAACCTGAGGCAGGCTGTGAAACACTTGAGGAACGCGGAGCCCCTCCCCAACGAAAAGGGTTCCTTCTTCAGGGCCCCGACTGTGGTACAGATGACGTCGGGCTCCGCATCCGCCTTCCGCATCTCGCTCAGCAGGGCCAGCGCCCGCCACCACTGCTCGCCCTTCTCGCACGCGCTGATCCCAGCACTGTAGCTGACTAGGGCTGACCCGCGGCCTTCCGGCCGCGGAATCTGCCCGCCATGGCTTGGACGTGGAAGTGGAGCGTCTCTGGGGCCTCGCGGGTAAGGGGAGGTTGGAGGGGACGGTGTGGATGGAGGAGGTGGCCGCTGGAGGGGGAGGTGGGCGAGGGATGCAGGCAAGCAGGCCTGAAGGCAGGAACGCGGTGGTGGAGGCGGTGTCAATGGAAGCGCACCCATGTAGGCATGACAGCTGTTTCTTACGCCGCAGTCTGTGTTCATCATAGCTTCTTCGGGGAGGGCAGCCGTGAGAAGTTATCTGCTCTTCGCCGGGGCCGAATGATAATTTGATGTGGTAGTGTGGTGACAATGGGGCCAGTGGGCGCGGCCTAGGAGGCCCGCAAGAGGGCGGCGAAACGTAACTCCCTAAGACGGGCCCCAGTGCGAGGACACGAATCGACCTTTCGAGCGCACCGCCTCAAGACGTCCCCAAATGGCGCAGAGATGGCTCGCAGTGGGTCCAAGAAGCCCCCAAGACGATACTGGAAGTTCGACGCTCCCCAAGAGAGAAGCATCCAACGCCCCTTGGGGGCCGCTTGGGGGCCCTTTTCGTCCTCCTGGGGTTCTCTTGAAGCCCTCTTGGGCAATCTTGAGTGCGCCTTGGGCCGTCTTGGGGCGATGTGGGGCCGTCTTGGGCGCCTCTCGGCATCTTGGGACAGTCTTGGAGCTATCTTGGGCACATATTGGGCGCTCTTGGGGTTGTCTTTGGTGTTTCTTGAGCCGTCTCGGGCGCCTCTGGAGCCATCCCTGACGGCCCAGAGACCGTCTTGGAGACTGTCCAAACGGAAAGGCTTGGAGACGGGGCGGTGGGGGCATCTACAGCCGTCTTGGAGACGGGGCGGTGGGGCCGTCTTGGGCCATTGTTAACTGCTTTGGGGGCTGCCTTGGGTGCGTTTTGGGCCGTCTCGGGGCCCTCCTGGGGCCCTCCTGGGAAGCCTCTTCGGCGTCTCTTGGGCCGTCGTCGTAGAGGCGTCTTGGGCCGTCTTGGCGCCGCAAAAGGTAATCTTGGCTTGACGTGGAGCGCTCTTGGAGCGTCTTGGGGATACCTGGGGCCGTCCTGGGAGCCTCTTGGTGTCACCCTGGGGCCGTTGTGGGCGCCTCTTGGGCTCTCTTGACGCCCTCTCGGGCCGGTTTTCGTGCGTCTTGGGGGCCTCTTGTGCCATCTTGGGGCGGTCGTGGGGACCTGGAACCAGCTTCTGCGCCATATTCCCGTGAAGCAGCGCATGCTGGAAGTGAGCGCTTGTCTTCGGGAAAACAATGATTTTCGCCTCTGGGGGCCATCCTTGGACGCCTCTTGGGCGTCTCTGGGGCCGTCGTGGAGGCCTCCTGGGCCGTCTTGGATGTGTTTTCGGCGGTCTTGGGCTGTCTTGGAGCGCTCTTGGGCCGTCTTGGGGGTGTCTGGGGCCGTCCTGGGCGCCTCCTGGGAGCCTCTTGGGGCCGCCTGGGGGCCGTGTTGGGCGCCTCTTGGGTCTCTGGACGCTTTCGCGGGCCGGTTTTCGTGCCTCTGGGGGGCCTCTTGGGCCGTCTTGGGGCGGTCGTGGGGGCCTCTTGTCCCATCTTCTGCGCCATACTCCCGACAAGCAGTGTGTGTGTGTGTGTGTGTGTGTGTGTGTGTGTGTGTGTGTGTGTGTGTGTGTGTGTGTGTGTGTGTGTGTGTGTGTGTGTGTGTGTGTGTGTGTGTGTGTGTGTGTGTGTGGTGTGTGTGTGGTGTGTGTGTGGTGTGTGTGTGTGTGTGTGTGTGTGTGTGTGTGTGTGTGTGTGTGTGTGTGTGTGTGTGTGTGTGTGTGTGTGTGTGTGTGTGTGTGTGTGTGTGTGTGTGTGTCTGTCTGTCTGTCTGTGTCTGTGTGTGTGTGCTAAAATTTAACGTTTTTCCTTGGAAAAACAATGATTTGGACCTGTGGGGGCCATCCTGGGACGCCTCTTGAGCGTCTCTGGGGCCGTCGTGGAGGCCTCCTGGGCCTTGTCGGGGCCGTTTTCGGCGGTCTGGAGCTCTCTTGGAGCGCTCTTGGGCCGTTTTGGTGGTGTCTGGGGCCGTCCTGGGCGCCTCTGGGGCCGCGTGAGCGCCTCTGGGGCGTCCCCGGAGCCGTTGTGGGGCATTTTACGCCCATCAAGACAGGGACCCTTCCCGCACGCACGGGTCCCTGCATTGTAAAGAAGACTAGGGCGAACCCGTGGACTCCGTCCACGTCATCTTGGGCCAATCTTGGCTCGAAAGGGCCGTCTTGGGCCTGTCTTCGCTCGAGATGGCGAGAGGGTGGAAATCTTTCAGAAGCCATAAAAAAGGATTCGATGATTTCGTTTGCCGCGGCTCGTCTGGAGCGTCTTCGAGCGGTCTTGGGCCGTCTCGGAGGCCCTCTTGGACCGCTTCCTTCTCTTCGTCCACCTTCCGCTCTACCTCCGCCTAGACAGCCGTCGGAGCGTCACAGACGGCTATGGTGGGTCTGCGGTGTACGTCTCGCCGCTTGTCAATTTTGAAAGCGCCTGGGGCCTTGAAAAAAGTCACTCAGGGGGCTCTGGTGACTTTTTTCCGGTTGCCTCTTCGAAGCCTGATGGCGGGCGCTGCCGTCTCCTTGGGAACGGTTAGTGGGCCTCTGGGGGTTTCTTTTCGAGCTCCTGGGGGCCTGTTGGGGCTTCGTTGGCTGTCTTGCGGCCTCCTAGGGGCCTCTTGGGGCCCTCTTGGGCCGTCTTGCGGCCTCCTGGGGGCCTTTTCTCTTGAAGTTGTTTTGGGCGCCTCTGGGGTCGTTCCCGGGCTGTCCCCCCGAGCCTCTTCCGGGGACAGCCCAGGAAATCAATTGTGCTTGCGTGCTGTGCGTGTGCTCCTGTGTGCGAGGTCGGAAGGGTGTCCCGACGTCACCGCTCGCTCTTGGGAGCTGTGCCTGGGAGAGCTCTGTACGCTGAGTCTCGCTCTTGGGAGCCTTGGTGAGAAGAGCTTTGTACTTCACCGATCGCTCTTTTAGTGGGCGTCTCTGGGTCTGCTTGGTGGTCCTTGTCTGGTGCTTTTTTGGGCTGCTCTGGGGACGTTTTGGGACGTTTTGTAGCTTTTTTGGGCCGTCACGGGGCGTCCGGGAGGCCTTGGACCGTTTTGGAGCTCTCTTCAGGCTGCCTGAGGCCGTCTTGGGAGCCTCTTGGGGCCCCCTCGGAGCTCTTTTGGGGCTCTGTGAGGCCGTTTCAAGGCTCTCTGGCGTCGTCTTGGGGCTCTTGTGGGCTGTCTTGGAGCCCTCTGAGGGGCCGCTGGCGTCTTCTTGAGGCGATTAGTGAGGCCTCTTGACGTGTCCTGGGCTGCTGAGGAGCACACACGGCGGGCATGCTCACATTATACGTTTTCCCATCGCACTTTGACGATTTGTGCCTCTTTGGCGTGCCCTCGGGGCCCTCTCGGGGCGGCTTTGCAGCCTCTTGGATCGTCGTGGGGAGCCCCCCCTGGACGGCTTCGGGCCCTCGTGGGCCGTCTCGGGACCCACTGAGGCCGTCTTGGAGCGCTCTTGGACGGTCTGGGACCCTTGGAGGAGGAGGAGGAGGAGGAGGAGGAGGAGGAGGAGGTGGAGGAGGAGGAGGAGGAGGAGGAGGAGGAGGAGGAGGAGGAGGTGGAGCGCTCTTGGACGGTCTTGGAGCGCCTCTGGTACCGGCCTGAACGATTCGGCCCCGTGGTGGCACGCGCGGCGATTTTGTGCACACTGGGACCTGCGAGCCATTCTCGCACGCAGATCCACTGGCCATGCAGGAGAGATAGCTTCGGGCTTCAGCTTCGCCTTCCGCATCTCGCTGAGCAGCGCAAGCGCCCGCTGCCACTGCTCGCCCTTCTCGCACGAACTGATCCCAGCGTTGTAGGAAATGACGTTGGGCTTCAGCTTCGCCTCCCGCATCTCGCTCAGCAGCGCGAGCGCCCGCTGCCACTGCTCGCCCTTCTCGCACGCGCTGACCCCAGCGCTGTAGCTGATGACGTCGGGGTCCAGCTTTGCTTCCCACATCTCGCTCAGCAGCGCCAGCGCCCGCTGCCACTGCTCGCGCTTCTCGCACGCGCTGATCCCAGCGCTGTAGCTGATGACGTTGGGCTCCAGCTTCGCCTCCCGCATCTCGCTCAGCAGCGCCAGCGCCCGCTGCCACTGCTCGCCCTTCTCGCACGCGCTGACCCCAGCGCTGTAGCTGACTAGGGCAGACCTGTGGACTCCGTCCACGACATCAGCTCGACGTGGCGAGGGGTCTCTGGGCAAGCGCGGGGGGGTGCGGCTGCAGGGCCGAAAGGCAATCATGATGGCGTCGGGCTCCAGCTTGGCTTTCCACATCTCGCAGTGCAGCGCCAGGCACCTCCTCCTCCTCCTCCTCCTCCTTCTCCTCCTCCTCTTCCACCTTCTCCTCCTCTTTCGCTCGATTCTCCATGCCCCCGGTCGGCAATCGTCGATCCTACGACGACTCTCCCCAACAGAGAAACATCGAAGGCCCTCGGAGCGTCCAACATTGTTCTTTTGTGCCTTCGATATGCCGGTCGCCTCTCGTCCGCTCCCCCCCTCCAGGAAGCAATTCTGAGGCCACTTCGGGCTTCGTGGGGGCCGTTTGGGGATCTCTTGGGGCGTTTTTGCCTGCGATATGCCTGTCGCCTCTCGTCCGCTCCCCCGCTCCTGGAGGGAATTCTGAAGCCACTGAAGGCTTCGTGGGGGCCGTTTCGGAGACTCTTCGGCCTTCTTTTGGGCCTCCCGGGGGAGCTCTTAGGGCCCTCTTGGGCCGTCTTGGGTGCCTCCTGGGCCGTCTTGGGACCGTCTGAGGCCGGCTTCGGCGCCTCTAGGGCTGTGTTGGGCCGTCTTGGGCCGCTCCTGGGGCCGTATTGGGTGCCTCTTGGGCCGTCTTGGGCGCCTCCTGGGCCGTCCTGGGGCCGTCCTGGGCCGTCTTGGGGCCGTCTTGGGGCCCTCTTGGCCCGTCTTGGGGCTCTCTTGGGGTCCTCTTCGGCCGTCTTGGAGCGGTCTGGGGGACGTCTTGGGCCGTCTTGGAGCGTCGGGAAGCCGAAAAGGCGAGGAGGCCGAAACCATCGAAAAACACAATGGAAATCGACGGTTTCTGCCGCTCGGGGCCCTCTTGGGACGCCTCTTGGGAGGCCTCTTGGGGAGTCTTGGAGGCCTCTGGAGCCGTCTTGGGCCAATCTCGAGCGTCTTGGGCCCCTCGCTGGGCGTGCCGGGGCCCTCCGGGGCCGTCTTGGGGGCCTCTTGGGGCCCCCTTGGCGTGTCTTGGGGCCTCCCGGGGCGGCCCGGTGCCAGCCCGGGGCGATTATTGGTCACTTGATACTGCGCCCTTCTGGTACGCACTGGGCCCTGCAATGTAGTAGAGATGACATTGGGTTTCAGCTTCGCCTCCCACATCTCGCTCAGCAGCGCCAGCGCCCGCTGCCACTGCTCGCGCTTCTCGCACGCGCTGATCCCAGCGTTGTAGCTGATGACGTTGGGCTCCAGCTTCGCCTCCCGCATCTCGCTCAGCAGCGCCAGCGCCCGCTGCCACTGCTCGCCCTTCTCGCACGCGCTGATCCCAGCATTGTAGCTGACTAGGGCTGACCCGTGGACTACGTCCACTTGCGGGGTGGAGGGGGTGCTGCTGCAAGGCGATCAGGATGAATGGCGTCGTGTTCGCCTGCCACACATCGCTGAGCGAGGAGACGGAGGAGCGTCTGGACGCCCCACCTGGGGCGCTCGGGTGCTCCCTTGCGATCGGGTCGGGCTTTGTCGGTGCGTTGGGTCCGACCATCTCGGGGCGTTCTGGGGCCGTCTGGGGGCCCTCTGAGGGGCCCCAAGATCACCAACACGCCTCCAAGATAGCTCCATAATGACCGCCCGCCCAGAATCGGCGCGACCGATTCTGGGCCACCGCGCCGCCGACCCAGAATCCCGCCCGACGCTCCCTTGGCGGCCGCGCGCGCTTCCGGGGTCGGCCGAGGCGATTCTGGGCCACCAGAAGAGCGAAACACGGCATGGCCCCAAGAGGCCGCGGAGAGGGCTCCAGACCGACAAAAAGGGCGAGGGATTTTGAGGCCAAATCCGGCAGGGAGCGCCAAACAAGCATCAGAGGCCCATGGTGCGCTGGAAGCCGTTTTTGGACCGTCTGCGGCCGTCTTTGACCGCTGTTGGTGCTGTCTTCGGTGCTTCTTGGGCCGTGATCTTGGGTCCCCTGGGGGTCGTTTTGGAGCCTCTCAGCGCTTCTTTTCGGCCTCCTGGAAGCCTCCTGGGCTTGGGCTGTCTCGGGTGCCTCTTGGGCAGTGTGGAGGGGGTCCGGGGCCGTCTGAGGGTTGTCTGGGGCCGTCTTGGACGTCTCTGGAGCAGTCTGGACACCGTCTGGGGGTCGTCTAAACCACATTTAAAAAAAACCTGCGGAAGATCGATATTGAGCAGGGACCGACCGTCCCGGCGTTCCTATAGTCCTACCACGAAATGTTCTTAGAACCCAAAATGTTCTAAGAGCAAAACAATGTTCTTAGAACATGGACCCGATGTGATAAAACAAGACAGACTCCGCCAGAAATGCTCTAAGAACCTTTCGTGGAACCCACAAGAGGTTCTTAGACCATTGTTTGGTGGGGCTATAAGCGAGCCAGGACGCTTCGCCACTGCTTAACGATAATGTTGCGTCCTCGCGGCCCTCCTGGAGGCTCTCGCGGAGGCCTGCGGTGCAGCATTGGGTCCTCGGGCCGCAGAAGTAGACACCAGAGAAACCACATAAAAAACACCTGGGAAATATCGATCGATAGTGTTGCGCCCTCGCGGCCCTCCTGGAGGCTCTCGCGGAGGCCTGTGGAGCTGGGTCTGGTCCAAGGCGTACCTTTTCCTGTGCAAGCTCTTCGGCACCGCCTGCACCCCGCACCCTCCGGCCGCCTGAGGCCCCGCCCGCCCGCGCCCTGTCTCCCCAATGAGTGCTTTGCGCGCCCCGCCTAGCTCTTAACCGGAAGAGGCCCGCTCTCGACCCGCCGACCCGCCGGCCAGGGGTTAGGAAGGAGGAGCAGGAGGAGGAGGAGGAGGAGGAGGAGGAGGAGGAGGAGGAGAAGGAGGAGGAGGAGAAGGAGGAGGAGGGGGAGGAGGAGGAGGAGGAGGATTTCGTGTTTGGCCCCTCTGGCACGCGGACTGCCCGGCCTGGCGTTGTGGGTGAGATGGCGTCGGCCTCCAGCTTCGCCTGCCGCATCTCGCTGAGCAGCGCCAGCGCCCGCTGCCACTGCTCGCCCTTCGCGCACGCGCTGATCCCAGCGCTGTAGCTGACTAGGGCTGACCCGTGGACTCCGTCCACGACATCTTTCTGGAATGGTTCTCGGAGGAACGGCGCAGATTGTACCGAAAATCTACAAACACGGCGGCGGCTCGGGCGGCGGCAGCGAGACCGCGCCTTCGTGTCCGAGCTCTTGCAGCGCTGCAGCAGCTTGGCCCAGCGCACTGCTCGTTCACCCCCCTCCTATTGAGGACAGTTTCGAAGTCTCTCGGGGATGTGCGTCGAAGTCGAAGCCCATCTGAGGCGTCTCAGGAGCGCTCGGGGAAGGGCTCGGGAGGCCATCGGGGAAAGCCACCGAAAGCGCCGGGGAGGCTCGCAAGGATCTACAGGGAGGGCCCAAGAGAGCTTCAAGAAAATTTGAAATCCAGTGAACTCTTAAGAGAAACCGCTGTTGGGTCGGCCATCACCTCCGGGCGCGCCTTGATGGTGCGATCCAGTCGCATCACCGCCAACGGGAGGGTTTGTTCGCCATGTCCCATTCTGTTCGCCCAGAGGGTCTGTGGAGGCCTTCGGGCGAACAGAACGGGACAGGGCAAGGAATGGGGAAGACATGTCCGAATCTCCTGGGCCCCCCAGATGCTCGTCCGAAGAATGCGGAGAGGTCCCAGGGTCATATCAATTGGCTGCTGTCCCAGGGGTCCGGTCTGCTTGGCCCGAAGAGTTTGCCAAGGCCCCTGGGGGAACAGAATGGCACAGCATATCGGGCAAAGGGGGGCGGTAGCTGGCCTGTCAGACCCGGCGTTCGTCTTCTGCCCAAGCGGCGCGGGGCCCACGGGCCCCAGGGTTGGCGGCCCGCTGGGATTCCTCTTGTTCGCCCACAGGGTTGGAGGAGGCCTCCAGGCGAACAGAATGGGGCAGGACAATGAATGTGGGAGACTTGTCGCAAGCTCCCAGCCCCCCCAAGTGTGCGCCCGAAGGGTGTGGGGCCGCGTTGGCTCCCTCAAAGGGCCGTCTTGGAGCCGTCTAGGCCCGTCTTGAGGGCGCCGTTTGCCCTGATGGGGCCGTCTTGGTTCGTCGTTGGCCCCTCATGGGCGCGTCCGAAGGCCGTCCTGGGCCCATCGGGGTCCTCGTGGGGCTGTCTTGGAGCCGTCTGGGACCGTGAGGAGGCCGCCTTGGAGTCGTCTTGGGCCCCTCCTGTGCGCCTCCTTGGGCCGTCCTGGGCCCAGCAGGGGCCGTGTTGGCACCCTCTTGGGGCTGTCTTGGAGCCGTCTTGAGCCGTCGCAGCGCGCCTTGGGTTGTGCTGGGTCCGTCTTGGCCCGTCTTGGGGCCTTCCTGGGCGGTTCCTCGGACCCTCCTGGGACTTTCTGGGGCCTCTTGGTGCATCGGACCGCCGAAACGGCGGGAAACGCAAAGGGTGTAACAGTAAACAATGGAAAATTAACGATTTTTGCCAGCTGGGACTCTCTTGCCATCTTGGCCCGTCTTGAGGCCCCGAACGGGCGCGTCCTTGGGCCGTCCTGGGCGCACCCTCCTGGGACCGTCTTGGAATCGTCTTGGGCCGTCTTGAGCGCGCCTTGGGCCGTCCTGGGCCGGTCTGGGGCCGTGTTGGCACCCTCGCGGCGAGGAAGCTCGGAGGCGGGCTCGAGGCCTCTTCGGGGCCATTTTGGAAGCTGTTGGGGCCTCTGTAGGGGCCTCGTTTGGGCTCCTTGGGAGCCTCCTGGGGCCTCTTCGGGGGATTCTTGGCGGCCCCTTGGGGCCTCTTGGGGGCCTGTTTGGGCCTCCTGGCGCCCTCTTGGGGCGGAAGGCTCGGATTTTCGGTCCGTGGTCCCCCTCTTGGCCCCCTCTTGGGCCTGTCTTCGGGCCCTCGTGGGCCGTCTTGAGCGTCTCTTGGGTCGTCTTGGGGCCCTCTTGGGCTGTCTTGGGGCGCTCTTGGAAACCTCTTGGGCCGTTCTGGGGCGCTCTTGGAGGCCTCTTGGGCCGTCTTCGAGCGTCGGAAAGCGGAAAAGGCGAGAAGGCCAAAATCCTTCCAAAACCGTCGTAAAGCGGACGATTTTGAGGCCCAAAACCGTCCAAAACCTCCTGAGGCGGTCCCCTCGTCCGCCCCCCTCGCTTCGAAGCAGTTTTTAAGCCCCGTGGCACCTCTTGGGGATCTCTTTTGGGCTCCTGGGGGCCTCTTGGGCCTCCACTGGATTCGCTGCCCTCGGTCGGCAATCGTCGATCCTACGACGACTCTCCCCAACGGAGAAACATCGAAGGCCCTCGGAGCGTCCAACATTGTTCTTTTGTGCCTTCGATATGCCGGTCGCCTCTCGTCCGCTCCCCCCCTCCTGGAAGCAATTCTGAGGCCACTTAGGGCTTCGTGGGGGCCGTTTGGGGATCTCTTGGGGCGTTTTTGCCTGCGATATGCCTGTCGCCTCTCGTCCGCTCCCCCGCTCCTGGAGGGAATTCTGAAGGCACTGAAGGCTTCGTGGGGGCCGTTTCGGAGCCTCTTCGGCCTTCTTTTGGGCCTCCCGGGGGGGCTCTTAGGGCCCTCTCGGGCCGTCTTGGGTGCCTCTTGGGCCGTCTTGGGGCCGTCTGAGACCCGCCTCGGCGCCTCTTGGGCTGTCTTGGGCCGTCTTGGGCCGCTCCTGGGGCCGTCTTGGGTGCCTCTTGGGCCGTCTTGGGCGCCTCCTGGGCCGTCCTGGGGCCGTCCTGGGGCGTCTTGGGACCGTCTGGGGGCCCTCCTGGCCCGTCTTGGGGCTCTTTGGGGGTCCTCTTCGGCCGTCTTGGAGCGGTCGGGGGGACTTCTTGGGCCGTCTTGGAGCGTCGGGAAGCCGACGAGGCGAGGAGGCCGAAAACATCGAAAAACATAGTAGAAATCGACGATTTCTGTCGCTCGGGGCCCTCTTGGGAGGCCTCTTGGGAGGCCTCTTCGGGCGTCTTGGACGCCTCTTGGGCCGCCTGGGGCGAATCTCGGGCGCCTTGGGCCCATCTTTAAGCGTGCCGGGGCTCTCTGGGGCCGTCTTGGGGGCTTCTGGGGGCCCTCCCGACATGTCCTGGGGCCTGCCTGGGCGGCCCGGGGCGGCCCGGGGCCAGCCCGGGGCGGTTTCGGTGCATTGGGGCCTGCGCCCTTCTGGCACGCACTGGGCCCTGCAATGTAGTAGAGATGACGTTGGGCTCCAGCTTTGCGTCCCGCATCTCGCTCAGCAGCGCCAGCGCCGCCTGCCACTGCTCGCCCTTCTCGCACGCGCTGATCCCAGCGCTGTAGCTGACTCAGATGGCCACTTCGGCGCGTCTTTGGGGGGAGGGCTCGATTTGTGACGCTCGGGGGCCAGGATCTGCGCGAGGGGTGTCGCGAAATGGCCAACATGGCCCTCGAGGGAGCGGAAAGTGCACGACCTTTTCGCACGCGCTTCCGTCTGCCATAGAGAAGAGACTAGTATGAACACGTGGATTAAATCCATGGTGTGCTGAACCTGTGACTTGCGCACCGTGGGTGAACAGCTCGTCGAAGTTGAACAGCTCGGGCGTCCCTGGGGCCGTGTCGGGGGCATGGGCGTCTTCAGGGCCTCTTGCGGTTTTGGGGGCGCCTCTGGGGCCGTTCCTGGGCCGCCCCCCAGGGCCTCTTCTGGGGGAGAGCCCGGGAAACTTTCTGCGCATGCGTGCCGTGAGGCTGCCGCTGAACAGTCCCCCCCTTGTCATCCCTGAGGTTGGCTGCATGGCTTGAGCGTGGCTTGATGGTGGGGGTCACAAATGGGGGGTCAGAAAAGGTCCCCTTTCGTGCCCCTTTCGGGCCCCTCCAGAGCCCCAGGGGGCTCGTTTAGGTACCATTTGGGTACCTTTTCGGACCACACTCGCCGCCCCCCCATTTACGATCCCCCCATGACGCTGCGCCCAAGCTTGCCTGCAGGCTCGGGGTGCCGGGGCGGGAGGCCATCTTCGAAGATCCTGGGCAGGTCTGCGCCATCTCGGGGTGGTCCTCCTCCTCCTCCTCCGCCTCCTCCTCCTCCTCCTCCTCCCTCCTCCTCCTCCTCCTCCTCCTCCTCTCCTCCTCCTCCTCCTCCGCCTCCTCCTCCTCCTCCTCCTCCTCCTCCTCCTCCTCCGCCTCCTCCGCCTCCGCCTCCGCCTCCGCCTCCCCCAGGGAGGGACCTCGCGGTGCTAGGAGCCCCAAAAAGGGAGAGCGCGTGGGCCTCCCTGCGAGAGAAGGTCCGTCCCCCGTGCCCGCGGGAAAGGCCCCCCGCGGAGAGAGCCAGGGCGGCCGGCGGCTGCCTCGGGGAAAGCTCCTTTGAAGGGGCCCCACAGGACACACAAAGAAATACACACAAAAAAACGGCCCCAAGAGGCCCCCAACAGGCCCTCAGGAGGCCCCCAAGAGGCCCCCAAGCGGCCCCAGGAGGCCACCCAAATGCCCCCCCGAGCACGCAAGCAAGTGCCAGCGACGCTACACTATGGGCCGGCGGAATGAGCGAAGCGATTCAATAAATACACACAAAAAAACGCTTCGTTGGAAACAACGCCTTCTCGAGACCCGCGGCCGATGTCCAGCATCCGAGAGCAAAAAAAAGCAAGGCACCGCGGCGTGAGCCCAAACTGCCCTGGGTTACGATGGCATGGGCCAACCGGCCAGGACCGGCAAACACCTCCGGTGACCAGTACGGACCGACAGGGACGGATTTCTGACCCATCGCGGGGGCTCTCATGCAGCAGCAGCTGTTGAAGGGGCCCCAGGACACACAAATAAATACACACAAATCAAACTATTCCCCATATGTTCCAATATTTTCTGGGCTTTTGTCCTCCCCCCCACTTCCCATATCTTGCCATATTTTCTGGGAAATCGACGGTTAATTGTGCCTGTGTGTTTTTTTCCCTCCTGATCCTTGCACTCCTGTGGGAAGGCGGAGGACAAAAACACCCGACGGATGCTACCACGGACCCCCCCTCTGTTGTAGCATCCGTCGGGGGCCCCCTGCTGTGAGAAGACGGAAGAAAAACCCGACGGCTGTTACAACGGAGCCCCCCCTGTTGTAGCATCCGTCGGGGGCCCCCTGCTGTGAGAAGACGGAGAACAGAAACCCGACGGATGCTACCACGGACCCCCCCCGCCTGTTGTAGCATCCGTCGGGGGCCCCCCGGAGGGCCGTACGGAGGCCGTCTGGGAGCTCAGTGCGGGTCCTCCTGGGCAGCTCCTGGTGCGTCTTGGGGGGCCACCTGAAACTCTAGTAGGCCGTCGGGGGCCTGTCTTGGGCCGGCTTGGAGCCCTCTTGCGCCGTCTTGGTGCTCTCATTGAGGCCTTTTGGGCCATTGTGGGGCGATCGCGAAAATGCCTGAGGCTGCGCGGGGCCCTTCTGAGCCCGTCATGGCGAGAACGTGGGAAACATTGGAAAACACACGGTGTTTGCTTGTTTTCTCGTCTCCTGAGGCCGTCTCTCGAATCCTCGTGGGCCCTGTTGGGCCGTACTTGGGGCCCCTTGGGCCATCTTTGGGCCATGATGGGGGTCTGGGGCCGTCTGGGAATCTAGTTTGGGCCCTCCTGGGCAGCTCCTGGGACGTCTTGGGGGGGCAACGTGAAGCTCTGTGAGGCTCGCCTGGGCCTGTTCTGGCCCGTCCTAGGGGCCCTCGTTGGCCGCGTTGGTAGGCTCGTGAAGCCCTCTGGGGTCATCTCGGTGCGATCTTGGAAGAATCTGGAGCTGTGTGGGGCCGTTCTGGGCCCGTCATGGGGAGAGCGTGGGGAACCTTGGAAAGTGCATGGTTTCAGGTTGTTGTTTCGCCTCGTGGGGTCGTCGTCGGGGTCCTCCTGGGGCCTTTTGGGCCGTCCCGCGGGCCTCTCGGGCCGTCCTAGGGGGGTCTCGGGCCGTCCTGGAGCTCGCCGTGGTGCCCGAGAGCCGTCCGAGAGCAGCGGGGCGCTCTGGGAGCTCGGGGGACAGCTCGCGACCTTCTCGCCCCTTCTGCACGCGCAACGACCAGAAGCGTAGTGAAGATGACGTTGGGCTCCAGCTTCGCCTCCCACATCTCGTTGAGCACTGACAGCGCGTGTTGCCATTGCGCGCCTTTTCCGCATGCGCTGACAGTCGCAACGTAGTGGCTTGGGACGAGTTGCACACCTAATCGAATCTCTTCGCGGAAAAACCGCAGTGCTGCGCTCCATTGTCTTGTCCGACCGTAATTCTTGATCGACACTTCGTTGGAAACAACGCCTTCTCGAGACCCGCGGCCGATGTCCAGCATCCGAGAACAAAAAAAAGCAAGGCACCGCGGCGTGAGCCAAAACTGCCCTGGGTTACAATGGCATGGGCCAACCGGCCAGGACCGGCAAACACCCCCGGTGACCAGTACGGACGGACAGGGACGGATTTCTGACCCATCGCGAGGGCTCTCATGCAGCAGCAGCTGTTAAAGGGGCCCTGGGACACACAAATAAATACACACAAATCAAACTATTCCTCATATTTTCTTATATTTTCTGGGTTTTCGTCTTCCCCCCCACTTCCCACATTTTCCCGTATGTTCTGGGGAATCGACGAGTAACTGTGTCTGTGTGTTTCTTTCCCTCCTGAGCTGTGGCGGCGGCGGCGGCCGAGTCTCGTCGTCGACGGCGGCGGCGGCTGCGAGGACGACGGCCGGGGAGGATCCCGGCGGCCTCGCCTCGATCTGCTGCCGCAGCTCGTCCATGTCTATGCTGTGGATGTCCTGGGCGAGGCTGGTGAGAGGGTCCTCTTCGTCGTCCTCTTCCCTCACTCCTCCTGACTCCTCCTCGCTTCTCCCCGCTCCTGCTTCTCCCCCCTCCGCTTTCTTGCCTCCTCCTCCGCCTCCTCCTCCTCTCTCTTCCCTCCTCCGTCCCTTCTCTCTTCCCCTCCTCCTCCTCCTCCTCCTCCTCCTCCTCCTCCTCCTCCTCCTCCTCCTCCTCCTCATGCTCATCCTCCTTCTCCCCCTTCCTTTCATTCCCCTTCTGCTCTCCCTCCTCTTCATCCTCCTCCTCCTCGGCGTTCTTGTCCTAGCCCTCGTCCTCCTCGTCCTCCTCGTCCTCTTACTCCTCCTCCTCCTCCTCCTTCTCCTAATGTTTCTTCCCCTCATCCGCCCCTTCTCCTCCTCCCTGTCGCACCTCCAGGCGAATCGGTCGGAGGACAGCACGTGTTTCACCTTCGACTTCCTCATCTCTTAGGGTCTTGTACCTTCAAATTCGCAACGATGACACGGATGGAGTACTGGTTACTTTCAAAATGGAGCTCTCGCCTTAGCACCACGCACGTTCGGTAAAGGATGGAGGGGGTCGTTTTCAACTTGAGGGATCCACGAAACCAGGCAGGAATGTGGGTCATCATCATCATCATCATCATCATCATCATCATCATCATCATCATCATCATCATCATCATCATCATCATCATCATCATCATCATCACTATCATCTTCACCACCATCATAATCATCATAATCATCATCATCATCATCATCATCATCATCATCATCATCACTATCAGCTTCACCACCATCATCATCATCAACATCAGGATCGTCGTCGTCATCGTCATCGTCATCATCACCACCATCATCACCACCATCATCACCACCATCATCCCCTGGGGGGCCGCGGACACGCGAAAGCACGTGCCCCGCGCGCACGCGCCAGGCGCACGTTGGGCCCCTCTCGCATTGCCTCTCACTCGCGTGAAGAATCTCTGCCGACCAGAAGTTGGGTGTTCCCCTTCTGGGAGACGTGCACGCGTGAGAGCCACCCCCCCGCCTCCGCGCACGCATCTGCACGGGCTGTGTATCCGCCGACCAGAACTGGAACAGCTGTCCCTCCCTCTGGCGGCCATGGACGGGCGAAAACGCGTACCCCGCGTGTTGGGACGCCACCCCTCCGCGCACGCGTCTCTGCCTGTGCAGAATCCGCTGGCCAGAAGCGCGGTGCTCCCTCCGGGGGCCGCGGACACGGGAGAGCACATGCCCCGCGCTCACGCGCCAGGCGCATGTTGCCAGGCGCATGTTACCCTCCCCCTTCTCCGCGGTTGCACTTCAGATTCTGCATGCGAGGACTCCGCCGACCAAAGACGTGGTCCCCCCGGTAGGAGCAGCGGACACGCGAAGCACACACACATGCCCCCCCGCGCGCAGGCGCCCGCCGCATGCGGGGCCACCCACCCACCCCCCCACGCCCCCACCTCCCGTATATGTTCCCATATTTTTCGAGGGATCGACGATTCATTGTGCCTGTGGTGTGTCCTTTTCTTCCCTCCTGAGCATCGTTGTTGCGTGGGAGGGATCCGCCGATCAGCAATCAGGCGCCCCCCGTGGGAGCCGGGGACTTCTGCAACACACACGCCCCGCGCACGCGCGCCAGCTCTCGCCCCCCCCCCCCTGCGCGCCCGCCCCCCTCTCCGCGCAGGCACACCTGCGCGCGAAGAATTTCCAGCGAGCAGAAAACGAGGAGGAGGAGGAGGAGGAGGAGGAGGAGGACAGACGATGATGATGATGATGATGATGATGATGATGATGAGGAGGAGGAGGAGGAGGAGGAGGAGGAGGAGGAGGAAAGACGAGGAGGAGGAGCGAAGGGAGGGGAAGAAGAAGAGGCCGCTCAGAGGTGGAATAATTTCCCCTCCTGGAGGCCCGTGGTGGTGAGAAGCGCGCGGCAGCGCGTGCCAAACGCATGCGCGCCGCGACGCACGTTGGAGACCCACCCTCCGCACACGCACTTTCACGTGCCAGCTTTGTCTCCGACACCTGCTGATCGACACGCCTCTTCACCTGTAAAGGATCCGCCGGCCAGAGATTGGGTCCCACCCTGGGGACCCCGCTGTGGCGAGAAACGTGTGAAACCACCTGCCGAACGCATGCACGCCGAGAAGCACGTTGAAGAACCCCCCCTCCGCACCTGTATTTTCACTTGTCAGACTCCGACACCTGCTGCTCGACACGCATTTTTACTTCAAAGAAAAGAATCGAAGACCAGAAGTTGCGTCCGCCATGGGGGGCCCAGTGTGGCGAGAAACGCGTGGAAACACTTGCCGGACCCATGTGCGCCGAGACGCATGTTGGAGACCCCCCCCCCCCGCACCTGTATTTCTACCCGTCGAGTTCCGATACGTGCTGCTTGACACGCCTTTCCACGTGTAAAGAAGCTTGGCGACCAGAAGTGGGGCCCCCCCCTGGGTGGGGTGGCATGTTGTGGCGTGGGACGCGTTAAGACACGTGCCACACGCGTGCGCGCCGAAACGCGTGTTGGAGAGCCCCCCCCCTCCGAGCATATGTTGATTGCCTGCTGCTCGACAACCTTCTGGTATAGGGCCAAAAGGCCCGCCAAGAGAACGAGAACCCTGGGCCGGAGACCTTACCGGGAAAGTGCAGCTCTCTCGCCTTGTTGCCGCGTGCACTCGTCCAAAAAGCGTGCAACAGGTATGATCCGGGTGGAGCACAGGTGGCTTTCCAGATGAAGATCTCGCCTTAGCGCCACGCGCATTGCGTCCAAAGGCTTGCAGCGGTTATGCGGATGGAGAGTGGCTCCCTTTCAAAACGGCGATCGCTTTGGGGCCACGTGCAGTCGTCCTAGATGTTTGCAACAAATACAAGGACGGAGGACGCCTCGACTTGATCTTAACGACCAGAGGCTTCAACACATTTAGCAGCTGAACGGATGGAGGCGGTTCCTTCTCTTCAGGAGACTCTCCTCGAGACTTCCCCGAAGCTCATGGCCACAAGTGCAACGGTGAAAAGGAGACTCTCGTGGAGACTTCCTCGAAGCTCATGACCACAGATGCAAAGCTGTGCAATCGATGTACGGGCGGGTGTCGTCTTTTTTTTTTAAAAAAAAAAAGTTCGGGGATCTTGCTGCATACCTCGTTGAACTTTATGGTCATACAGTCGGGGCGTTGACCTGAGGAACCCTAAATAAGGAACGAGGCCCCTCTTTTCCATAAGTTAAACTTCGATGACTTTCTATCGGAGACATAAGGAAACCCTGAGGCAAGCTGTGAGACACTTAAGGAACGCGGAGCCCCTCCCCAACCAAAAGGGTTCCTTCCTCAGGGCCCCGACTGTACCTTTTCGAATGTTTGATGCTCCTCTGAGAATTGGGCGCCCGAGTTATCTGGGGTAACTCGGGTCCGGGGTAACTCGGGTTCGGATTCCCGAAAAACGAACCCGAGTTAGCCCTGACCCGAGTTACCCCTGATGATTCGGGGCTCTGGACGCCCGAGTTATCCGGGGTAACTCGGGTCCGGGGTAACTCGGGTCCGGGGTAACTCGGGTCCGGATTCCCAAAAAAGGAACCCGAGTTAGCCCTGACCCGAGTTACCCCTGATGACTCGGGGCTCTGAGAATGTTTGGGCCCAGGGTGGGAACGCGGGGAGGGGTTGGGGACGGTTGGTGGGAGGTGGGTGGGTGGGGGGAGTTCGAGGGGGGAGAGGGGGAGGAAGGAGGAGGGAGGAGGAGCAGGAGCAGGAGGAGCAGGAGGAGGAGGAGGAGCAGGAGCAGGAGCAGGAGCAGGAGGGGGGAGGAGGAGGGTCAGGTGGAATCTCGAGTGTTCGGATGCTGCTCTGAGAAGCCGCGAGGCCATTCCTCTCCAGAGAGGGGGCTCCCCCGCGTGCACGGCACGCACATAGGGGCGCCGGTCTCTCGAGCGGGCGCCTCCTTTGCGGCGAGCAGGAGGGAGGGGAAGAAACACACAGACACAATGAATCGTCGATCCCCCAGAAAATATGGGGAAATATGGGAAGTGGGAGGGAAGACAGAAACCCAGAAAATGTGGGAAAATATGGGGAATCCTTTATATTCGTGTGCACTTATTTGTGTGTCCGGGGGCCGCCCCTTCACAAAGTCGAGGGAGGGAGGAGGAAGGAGGGATGCAAGGGTGAATTGCAGCATCGCTGGTGCACCTTGGGTTTACTCTGGTTCTCCTCCGCCTCTTCTTCTTCTTCTTCTTCTTCTCACCTCCTCCTCCTCCTCCTTCTCCTCCTCCTCCTCCTCCTCCTCCGAATCGCAAATCTTCAGGAGCGCTCCTTGGTCGGACGGGGGGGTCCAGCGGATGCTCGCGCCGGCGGCAAGCAAGGGCCCGGCCACGAAGGAGAGGGCAGCAGGGGCGACAGAGCCTCGACCCCGCGCGCCCCGCGAAGTGTTCCGTCATGCCCAACATCAGCGAGCCGCCACCTTGTGTTATGTCGGGCGTGTCCCCCTACACGGGGATTTTCGACGAAAAATAAGAAATACCCCAAACATGCCCTAAAATGATACAACATACTCGAACAATAGTCCCCAGGCTATTTTTGGACTGTTTTTTTTGTTTAGGGGATTTTCTATTTTACGTCGAAGATCCCCCTGTATGGGGGCAGGCCCGACTTAAACCTTGTGTAGCCACCGCAGGCTTGAGGCGCAGAATGGGAGCTCGATGCGCGCATGGCGGACGCACGCGAAGAGCTGGTGTTCGCATGCTGGCAAGCGCGCAGCTGTTTCCCCCCCCACCAGCGTTGCGGCACCATGATGGCATGGGAAGCGATGAACAGTATCAGAATAGGATTGCCGAAGAGCATGCGAAGTGGCCCCGAGTCCAGTGGCAACGGTCAGTGCCCACTGATGCCTAGTCACACAGCAGTGTGAGGAAATGCCAGACATATGTGATGGTTTGATCGGAAAGAATAGCGTGAGTCCCAGATGCCTCTAAGAGGTCCCCAGGAAGCCCCCCAGAGGCCCCCCAAAGGTTCTCAAAGGCCCCGAACGACTTCTAAGAAGCCTTCCAACACACTCCTAGAGGCTTCTGAGAAGCCCCTTTTCCTCGAGAGGATCTGCCGCCCCCTCATGCTTGCAGAGGGCGCGCAGGGTGGCAAATTTGCAACTCGTCCTTTGGGCTCTTTCCCAAAAGGTTCCAAATGGGGTATATGCTCAACCCGCCCGCCACCCGGAAGCGTTCATAAAAACTTGCTCACATCGCCTTTCCTGCCCAAGAACAGCTCCAAGAGGGATCAAGAGGGTCTCCAGGATGGCCAAATTGCCTCAAGATGGTCTCCAAGACGGTCCCAGCCCCAAGAGGGCCCAAGATGCCACCAAGACGGCCCAATATGACTCGAAGACGGCACAAGATGCCCTTCAGACGGCCGACTAGGCCCCCCAAACGCCCTAAGAGGTCTCCAAGGAGCATGCAGGAAGTCAACATCACTTGTTTTCGTATGCTGTTTAGACGTAAGTTTCGCGTTCTCGCCCTTTCGGGCTTCGGACAACCGAAGACGACCCGTGAGGTCCTTCTCCGTGATAGCCCCTAGACTGCCTGCCCCAGCAGTCATCAGAGGGTCCCAAGAAGGGCCAAAAAGGCCTCAAGACAACCAAGAGGGCCCCAAAACGGCCCCAAGACGATCCCACATATTTACCTAAAGAGCCAAAGAAGGCCCGACGACGACTGAAAGATGCGCCCAAGACGGCCTCCGAAGGCTGAGAGGCCCCTCAAGAGGCCCCCAGAAGCCCCAAAGAGGCTCCAGAGAGGCCCCAGGAGGCCCCCAAGCGGCCGCTCAGAGGTCCCCAAGAGGTCCCCAAGAAGCCCTTGGCCCCCAAGAAGCCACCAAGAGGCCTACTGTTTTCCTCCTCCTCCTCCTCCTCCTCCTCCTCCTCCTCCTCCTTCTCCTCCCTCTCCTCCTCCTCCTCTTCCTCCTCCCACTCCTCATCCTCCTCTCTATTCCTACCCCCAATGTTCCCTCATGGGTTTCCACAAAGACTGGGGAAACATATAGTCCAATAGCGGGGCCAAGCTTTGGCCCGACGTTTGACCACAACGGCATTTCAAGAAAAGCAGGGCGCGGCGGTGACTCTCAGTAGGCGTCTTCGAAACTTGATCCCATTCCGCCTCGCTGCCAAGGTGGCTTCCAAGTCGGCCAAGATGGGCCTATAGTATGGCCCTCACTACGGTCCAATAGACCCTCCAAGACGTCAAATATAGCCCACGATGGCCCAAGTTGGTCTACGATGGCTCCAAGAAATCCCCAGATGGCCCCAAGAGGCCAACCACGAGGCACCCTCCTCCTCCTCCTCCTCCTCACCCTCACCCTTATCCCCCTCCCCCTGCTCCTCCTCACCCTCTGCCTCCTCCACCGCGGCTGGGGGAACGCACAGTCCAGCATCCTGGCACGTTGTATTGTCTTCATCTCTTACGATGATGATACCGGACCGACGACCATGCAAGTTGACCACCAGCGACGATCCACTCCAAGCATTTATCTAGCCTCGGCGGTGAGCACGTTGCGAGTGACCGTGCTTTCTTTCTCCTTCCTCCTCCTCGCAGCCCTTTTTTCCTCCTTCCTCCTTCCTCCTCCTCTCTCCTTTTTACCTAACAGCGAAGACTGATAGGTTTCTAGTGGTGTCAAAAGAGCTCACAGATCACTCCACAGGGGGGTCCGGGCAGGTGTTGGGAGTTGCCGGGCGGCAGGGGGCCCCGCTCGTTTTTCACCAACAGTCACACACTTCGTGCTCTTCGAGTTCCCAGAACTCCATTCCCAGGTTCCCGGATGCAACAGTCACACACTTCGTGCTCTTCTCCATTCCCGGGCCACATTTGGAGGGCCGGATGCAACAGTCACACACTTCGTGCTCTTCGAGTTCCCAGAACGCCATTCCCGGGCCACATTCTGGAGGGCCGGATGCAACAGTCACACACTTCGTGCTCTTCGAGTTCCCAGAACTCCATTCCCGGGCCACATTCTGGAGGGCCGGATGCAACAGTCACACACTTCGTGCTCTTCGAGTTCCCAGAATTCCATTCCCGGGCCACATTTTGGATGCCCGGAGCCAACTGTAGGCCACTTCGTGCTCTTCGAGTTCCCAGAACTCCATTCCCGGGCCACATTTTGAATGCCCGGAGCCAACTGTAGGCCACTTCGTGTTCTTCGAGTTCCCAGAACTCCATTCCGGGGCCAGGCTGATTGAGGCTGAGGCTGAGGCAGGCTGAGGCTGAGGCTGAGGCTGATGCTGAGGCTGAGGGCTGACGCCGAGGCTGAAGGCAGACTGAGGCTGAGGCTGAAGCAGGCTGCTGAGGCTGAGGCAGGCTGAGGCAGGCTGAGGCTGAGGCTGTGCTCTGTGACTGCCGTTGCCACTGCGACTGTCATCGCGAATGCGACTACGACTGCGAGAACAGCACAATTCTACAACTAGATTCTCGTTTGAATCTTAAGGGGAATGCTTCCAGATATGCTCCTACACATCGCTGTTAGGTTGCTTTGCCGGGATAATATTTTGTTTCTCCTTCCTCCTTCTCTCCTATTTGTTCTTCTTCCTCCTTTTTGTTTCTCCTTCCTCCTCTCGCGCGCGGGTGTACACTGCTCGAAAGGCTGGCGCGAGGGCCGGCGCCGCGGCGCGCTCCTGGCGGGCGGGGCTGGCGCGATGAAGCGCACCGCGGCCCCCCCCGCGCCGGCGGCGGCGCGCGGGCGAAACGGCGTCGGCGACGGCCGGGGCCACCCGCAGCGGAGGCCGGGGGGGGGGAGTGGACGGGAGCCACTTGGAGCGCCCCCAGAGCCTCGCAGAGGAGCCTCGGAGCCCTGGAGGGAAGCCCGCGGGGGGAGAGGTACGGTACGGTACGGTACGGCTGTCCTCGGAAGTGGGGCCAACGCCCCCTCAGCCCGGGGGGATGCCAGGCTATTAAAGAACTCGGCAGCCCGGGGGGGGGGGAGAGAGGCGGAGGCAGGAGGCGGGCGGGGGCGGGAGTGGACGGGAGCCACTTGGAGCGCCCCCAGAGCCTCGCAGAGGAGCCTCGGAACCCTGGAGGGAAGCCCGCGGGGGGAGAGGTACGGTACGGTACGGTACGGCTGTCCTCGGAAGTGGGGCCAACGCCCCCTCAGCCAGGGGGGGGGGGGCCAGGCTAAAGAACTCGGCAGCCCGGGGGGGGGAGAGAGAGGCGGAGGTAGGAGGCGGGCGGGGGCGGGAGTGGACGGGAGCCACTTGGAGCGCCCCCAGAGCCTCTCAGAGGAGCCTCTGAGTCCCGGAGGGAAACCCGAGGGCCTTCGGGGGACGCTTCAAAGCTGAGCTTTGAAGGCCTCGGGGCATGTCTGGGAAAGGCCCAGACGGGAGGAGGTTCTGGGCCTCGGGGAGAGGAGAAAGAAGAGGAGGGAGCAGGAGGAAGAGGAGGAGAAGGAGGAGGAGGAAGAGGAGGAGGGAAGACGAGGGGGAGGAGGACGAGGAGGAGGAGGAGGAGGAGGAAGACCAGTGCAAATCCAAGATTCATCAACGATGTTGCAATCTACCCTGCTTCCAAGTTCCCTCTTCATAGGTCCCCACCCGTTGGAAGACAATCGTCTGAAAATCCTGAACCGTGCCAGAACACCGTTCCTGAGACTTCAACGCCGCGAATCACTGCCACTCTTGCGCCCTGACGATTCTGGATCGCGCCATAACACCATTCCTGGGGCGTCAAACATCAGAACCCTTTAAGCTGCTGTAAACTCCTAAGGCACGCGGCGCCCCGCTGCGAGGCACATTCTGAAAAGTATCGCCCTCCATCCGTGAAGCTTATGCAGAGGACGCATGTGCGCAGCGCTAAGCCGAGAACCATAATTTGAAAACGGCCCGCCCTCCTTCCGTACAACTCTTGCGAACTTGACGGGCGAATGAGCGCGGCGCTGAGGCGCGAGAGGCACATGTTGCAAACGGGCCGCCCTCCATCCGCGAAGCTCTTGCACATTCTCAGCGTACGGATCACAAATGGTGAGGAAGTCTCAGGCGAAACGCCCAGCCCGCCCCACTGACACGCCTCGGGGTGCGACAGGGAGCTACGTGTAAGGATCGGAGGAGGCGGAGGAGGAGGAGGGGGAGGAGGAGGAGGAGGAGGAGGAGGAGGAGGAGGAGGAGGCGGAGGAGGAGGAGGAGGAGGACCGAACGCTCCAAGCATGGCGCTTGGAGCCCACCCCACCCCAAAAAGTAGGAGGAGGAGGAGGAGGAGGAGGAGGAGAAGGAGGAGGAGGAGGAGGGAGGAGGAGAAGAACTGGGACCAGGCCCCGGCCGACGCTGACAGACAAGAAACATGTCGGCGAGGCCGGGCAGGGCGCGGCGCGTGGCTTGCCCGACGCGCGCAGCCCGGCCCGGCGACGCCCCCGAACCCCCGAGAGCGCGGCGGCGCGAGGATCACGGGCGCCCTGCCGCTTCGGCCGCGCGCGCCCCCAGCCCTCCCCAGACATGATCGCGTCGTAAAAAATTCAGGATGACGGTTTCTCGCCGTTTTCGGCCTCTCGAGGGCCCCGCTGGGCCCCAGGGCCGCCAAGAAACGGCTCGGGATGAGAAACCGAGCCCCGGGGAGAGGGTCGGGACTTCTGGGGACGCCGTCCCGAAAAAATCAGGGCGTCGCATGTCTGGGTCGGACACGCGAGGTCGGCGGCCTACTCCCCCTCCTCCTCCTCCTCCTCCTCCCGGCGGCTCGAAGGCGAGGCCCCGGAGGGGGAGGCTCTCCCCCAGGACGGCGGGGCCCTGGCCAGCCCCTGGGCCTATCACCCCCAGCGCTGCCCCCTATCAGCGCTTTCAAATCGAAACTCGGCTCTGTGGTGGCGGCCTGTCGGGACGGTGCGGGCACCCCCGGAAGCCTCCCGACGAGGCGCAGCTGATGGAACCCTCCCCAGGCCTGGAACACGTCGGGAACTTCTGAAAACGGTCCGGAAATCCGCCCCCTCAGATCCCTTTTGCTTGCTCTCCTCCTCCTTCCTCCTCCTGTCCCTTCTCATCCTCCTCCTCCCCCTCCGCCTCCGCCTCCTCCTCCTCCTCCTCCTCCTCCTCCTCCTCCTCCTCCTCCTCCTCCTCCTCCCTCCTCCTATCCCCCCCTAACGTCTCCCTGACCTCCTTCTAGGAGCTTCCCCACGCAAAAGGGGCTCCCCCCCCCCCCCCGGGGTGCACCTCCGAACCGCCGGTCCTAGGGCTTGGCCTCCGGCTCTGCGGCCTCCTCCGCCCCGGCACCCGGCGCGGCGGCCTCCTCGGCCTCCCGAGCGGGGGCTTTTTTTGGGGGGGTCCCCTGACCCCAGACCCCCTCGAGTTATGAAAAAATCACGACGGGAGGTTTTTCATTATTTTTTGCCTTTGGGGGCCCTTACCGGCCCTCGGGACCGTCAAAAAACGACTCGGGACGAAAAACCGGTCCCCGGGAATGGGTCGAGACCTCGGGGGGTCGACGTCATGAAAAAATCATGACGTCGGGGGTCTGTGACTCCGGATCCGCCCTACTTTGGCTTTTTTTCCCAACTTAAAATTGCGTCGGAAATCCGCCTATGAGAGGCCGAAAAAGTAGGGCGGAAGTTGCTGCACCCAACATAAAACAGGGCGGAAACCCACAGAAACAGCAGCAGAACAGTGGGGCGGAAATCGGCAGCAGCGGGGCTCGAAAAGGAAGGCGGAAATTCCAAGCCCGACTTACGAACTTCCCCAAAGCCAGGACTCGGGCCGCGCCCGAGAAGACTGCAGCAGTAGGTCGGGCTGGGTCGAGGCGGCGGCCTCCTCCCTTCTCCACTCCCCCCCCCCCCCCGGGCGGAGCTCCCGAGGCCCTGGCCAGCAGCGTCGCATTTTCGCTTGGGGCCCCGCCGGCCTCCTCGGCCCCGGAGCGCGCCTCGGCGGCCTCCTCGGCGGCCTCCTCGGCGGCCTCCTCGGCGGCCTCCTCGGCGGCCTCCTCGGCGGCGCCCTCCTCGGCGGCGCCCCCGGGCTCGGCGGCCTCCGCCGCCGCCGCGGCGGCCCCGGCGGGCACGGCCTCCGGCGCGGGGGCGCCCTCGGGCGCGGCGGCCTCCGCCGCGGCGGCCTGCTCCTGGAGGTAGAGCTCGTGCTGCTCCTCCGCGTAGCGCCTCTCCTCCTCCTTGCGCGCGGCGAGGCGCGCCCTCTTCGCCGCCCTGGCCTCGTCGGCCTCGGTCCTCTTCCGGTAGAGCTCCGCCTGCCGCGCGACGTAGGCCTCCTCCCTGGCCCTCCGCTTCTCCTTCTTCTTCGCGAGCTCCTCCTTTGCCTTCCTCGCGGCCTCCTTCGCCTTCTTCACCGCCGCATCCTTCGCCTTCTTTGCGATCAGCTTGGCCTTAACCGCGGCCTTCTGCTTCGCGAGCACGCCCTTTGCCCTGGCCGCCTGCTTCTCCTTCAGGACGCTGGCCTTCGCCTTCGCCGTCTCCTTGCCGAACAGCGCGGGGGCTGCGAGGCCCCCGGCCGACGCCAGCGGCAGAATGGTGGACAGAGTCTTCTTCTTCGTGACCTTCATCGCCGTCGCCTTGCTCGAGGCAGCCTTGACCGTCTTCTTGACAGAGGCGGCCTTCATGGGGGCCATTCCGAGATCTCGCACGGGCAGTCGACCCCGAATAGAGAGAGCCGCGAGCGTCGCACCTATCGCCGAAAATCTTGAGCCCCAATCGTGGGTACGGAAAGGGCTTGGCCACGCTCTGGCCCACCGTGTGGACAGATGCACGTCTCCAGACAAGCAGGGGGCGGGGATGACTCGCGGTAAGCGACTTCGATAACTTGCTCTGGCCCCGCGGAACAGGGGACCCAATGGCTTTCACGCCCGAGGTGGCTCAAGGAGGACCGCCCAGACAGCCAGGATGGCCTCAGGTGCCCTGCAGGACGGCGAAGAGCGCCTCCAAGTCGGAGAGGATGGCCCCGAGAGTGCCCAAGATGCCCCCAAGATGGGATCAAGACTTCCCGAGATGATCCCAAGACGGTCCAAGAGGCTCTCAAACGAAGTCGGCTCCAAGAAAGACTCCACGATGGCCCCAAGTTGGCCAGAAATATACTCAATGCCACTTCGGTTGTTTAGTGCTTTTCGCGTTCTCGGCTTCCGGACCTCCCAAAATCTAAAACGACTGAAGGGCCTTCCAACATTACCCCCAGACGGCCAAGAAGCTCCCAAGCGGGCCCCGACCCGTTCAACATGTGGCCCCTAAGACAGCCTCAAGACGGCCTGAGGGGCCGCACAGTCACCCAAGAGAGTGCCAGGCGGTCCCCGAGATGACCCCAGAGGGCCCGCCCCCCAAGGGTCCCCCACCAGTTTCCCCAAGCGCTGGGGAACCACGCAGTCCACTATGAAGGGGCCCTGGGACACACAAAGAAATAGACACAAATACTAGGATTCCCAACATTTTCCCATATTTTCTGGGCTTTTGTCTTCCCCCCCACTTCCCATATTTTCCCATATTTTCCTGGGGATCGACGATGAATTGTGTCTGCATGTTTTTTCCCTTCCTGACACTAGCATGGCCGCACGCTCGCTCGACACTTCCCCACGCAGACGCTCCCGGAAGGCAGGGGGCGGGGGTGATTCCCCGTAGGCCCCCTCGACAACTTGTCTAGAAGCAGCGTAAGGGCTCCCAATTTCGCGCTTCGCGCTGCGCGAAGCGCGAAGTGCGAATAACTTCGCGCTCTCGCGCCGCCTCTTCAAGGAAAGAAAGGAGGACGAGGAGGAACCGGAGCCGAACCGCGAAGCGCGAAGCGCGAACAGCTTGGCGCCCTCGAGGGCGCCCTTGTGGAGGCGGTGCAAGCACAACTTCAAGAGCAGATCGGAGCCAGAGTCGCAGCAGAAACTGACAGCGGGCACTGGCCCCAGCCGCGGCCGACACGTCGTCGCCCACCCGCAAAACTCCGCCCCGCCCGCAGGCACGGACGAGGCGGAAAGGACTTTCCCCGTGGGGGGGGGCCACTGCGCTCGCAGCCCCACGTCTCCGATCTGCCAGGCATCTGCTTCCTGGCGCACTTCCAGCGACGACGTGCCGAATCTCTTCCCGTTCGAGGCAGCTGTGCGGCGCACCGGGAGCTTTATCAACGCCTCCTCCTCCTCCTCCCCCTCGTCTGCCTCCTCCAACGACGACGTGCCGCATCTCTTCCCGTTCGAGGTGACTGTGCGGCACACCGGGAGCTCCACCAACGCCTCCTCCTCCACCTCGTCTGCCTCCCTCCAACGACGACGTGCCGAATCTCTTCCTGGTCGAAGTAACTGTGCGGCACATCGGGAGCTCCACCAACGCCGCCTCCTCCCCCTCGTCTGCCTCCCCCCCTCCAACCTCAACGGGCTCCTTCAGGTCTTTGCTGATGTGCGCCTCGCGCTGGCCGATGTCCTGCAGCGCTCGCAGCTCCAAGGCCACGTCTTCTTTCCTTGCCCTGAGCGCGTCGACCTGGCTGCGCGACGGCGGAGAGGTTGAAGTCTAGGTGTCACCCAAGAGTTGGAGATGGGCTGCCCCACTGAAAAAGCCACTCCCTTCTCTGAACGATTGGGCCAGCCTCGTCCTGCTGCTGCTGCTGCTGCTGCTGCTGCTGCTCCTACTCTCGTCAATTCAAGGATGGGGGCCGTGGAGGAGACCCGAAGGACTACTGTGCCGTGATAAATGACCGCCCAATTTTGACAGGCTGGCGCAGCGTGGATCCGAGGTGCTCCGTTAGACGCTCGGAGGCTTATACACTGTGACGGGAGTGGAGCTGCGTCAGCAGGGGGCGGGCAACTTCGGGTTAATACTTCCATTTGAATTCTGATCAGGCTAAAAGGGATGGCGGTTCCAAAATTGCGAACCGAGTGGAGCTTCTTCGAACAAAAACTAGAACCAGGTTCCAAAGTCGATTCCAAACAACAGAAGTCGGTTCCAAATAATGGAAACATTGGCGCTTCTTGCGGGAATTCCTCGAAAATGATGTTCGAACCAGTCTCGAACTCGGTTCCGAACAGTAGAAAAGTGGGCGTCTTGCGCGGGACTTCCTCGAAAAGCAGGTTCGAACCAGGCTCGAACTCGGTTGATCTTGCGTTCCTCTGCACCTTTCGTCATCCTTCTGCATGTCGTAGCGCCGCAGTGGCAGAATTGGGCGAAACTTTGCTCACGCCCATGTAGGGGCCTCACACAATGTCAATTCAATATGGGACCTCTTATTGTCCCTAAGCCCCCTGCCTCAGAGCCTCACCTTGAAACCGCCGACACTCCGTGACTGACTTCCAGACCACCCCAACCCAACCCGAAGACCCGAACCTGACCCGAATCTCGGGTTGGGGGGGGTAATTACGGGTGCCATGTGTGTTTTTCAATGTTCCCCGACCCCCCCCCCCCCCAACTGGAAATCGAGGATAAGTTTGGGCCTTCGGGTTGGGTTGGGGTGGTTTGGTGGGTGGTGCCTCCGGACCCGAATGGGGAAAGGGGACGGCCGCCCGCCGCTCGGGGGACCCGCTCGTGGCGGCGGCGCACGCTCGGCCCCACTCCTGGGGGCACGCCCGGCCCGTCAGTCCGCCCGCCTCGGACCGTTCAACGGCGCGCGGCTCCCGGGCCGACGCGTGCGCCCGACCTGCCTGCGTGCCACTCCCAGACTCCCGACGCCGTGCGAAGCTCACGACGTCGGCCCCCCGAAGTCTGGAGACCTTCCCCGGGACCGTCTCTTCCATCCCGAGTCGTTTTGTTGGCGCTCCCGAGGCCCGGCGGGGGCCTCCAGAGGCCGAAAATCATCCAAAACCTTCGTCGTGAGTCTCTCGCGACGTCGGAGGTCTGGGCTGGCTCGCAGGCCCTCCCAGCACGAGCGCTGCCCCTGGACACAGCCGGCGCGCCTCTCGGAGCGGGCGTGGGCGCCGGGAGCGGCAGGCCCGGCGGCGCCAGGGCTCTCAGGAGGTCCGTTGGTGAAGGCACCTCCGACTCGACCCCTCCTCCTCCTCCTCCTCCTCCTCCTCCTCCTCCTCCTCCACCTCCTCCTCCTCCTCCTCCTCCTCCTCCTCCTCCTCCTCCTCCTCCTCCTCTCCCTGCAGGGACCCAAGATCACCCCGAAGAGCAGACATACATCGCACGTGGGCACTCCGAGGGGGGTCCGCCAGGGAGCGCTCAGCCACCACGAGTTCAGGTTCTCTCACTCGGA